GAGGAGAGGAGAGGAGAGGAGAGGAGAGGAGAGGAGAGGAGAGGAGAAGAGAAGAGAAGAGAAGAGAAGAGAAGAGAAGAGAAGAGAAGAGAAGAGAAGAGAAGAGAAGAGAAGAGAAGAGAATATGGAAGGGACCTTGGAGGTCTTCTAGTCCAGCCTCCTGCTCACCTCTCTTCCTTTTCCTCTCTGGAAAACTAAGGAGGAGCCCTTTTGAAATGTTTCCTTATACCTCTTTTCCTTCTGTGGGCTGAGCTACATTTTGCGTGATGGCTGTCTAGCCTGCAGCTCTCCCTCCCTCTCCCAAGGTTATTTCCACATGCTATTACACAGACATATTTTTATCAGCTTCAATTGATATGTCTACAGAGACCTTATTATCTCTGTGTGGTAAGGCGTTATGCTGACTGCCAATTCATTTCTGGGCAAAATATGGAAACCTTTTAAAAAACTTTAAAATCCTGTGCAGTTTAGACTCATGAGAGAGAACATCTCTTTCGTTATGAATATCTGTTCTTCCAGAGATTGAAGAAGGTAGAACTTAGATTAACAGAGTTAGAAGGGACCCTGGAGGTCATCTAGTCCAATTGTCTTCATGAGCAGGAGAGTCTATAGTACCATTATCTGAGAAAGTTTGCCTTCTCTGTTGCCACCAAAGGATCCCTGACTTCTTTCTTACTGTTTGAAAAGGCATACAAAAAGCAATTTTTTAAAAGGCTCTGAAGTTTTGATTTCAACGCTTGATTTTAACCGTAATTTTTTCTTAATAATTAGGGCATTGTCATATTACTATTACTATTTGCTGTTTAAATTGCTATGTTGTATTTTTAATGCTTCAGGTTTGCACTGTAAATATTTTTTTACTATAAATCACTGCCAAGTTTTGTAGAATACCGAGTTAACTAAACAATGAACAAGGAAGCAAACAATAGAACACTTATGTGAAACCCCTGATCCAGCCATATGTCACCATTTTGCCAACAGCCCTTCTCCACCCCGTTTGGAAAGCACGATGGATGGATATTGACTGGCAGATAACATTTGGTCAGAGGGGAAGAAAGCAAAGACAGGGTAGCCGCCAATCTTTATTCCAAAATTCTTCCAGCTATTTTGTTTATTTATATATTTTTACTTTTATTTGTTCAATTTTTGTGCTGCCCATTTACCCCATAAGGTGACTCTTTCGTTCAGTTTTGCCAGTATTTCATTTTGAACAACATCTTAGTTTTCAGGGATCGATCACTGTCCGGGGGGGGGGGGGGGGGGGGGGCAGAATTCCAAACCTGTCATTGTATCTTCCCCCACCCTCCACTTCGTCAAATTGGCCCTGATGATTGTAACTGACAAGAAGGGAGATTCCTGTGGAACAGTAGAAAAATGTGAAGAGCAATTCCTAACACGAAGCACAAAATTGTCTCCCACAACATCCTACCTGTCTACTACTATGACTACTTCAACTTCAACTGGAATAAAACATGGGCAAATAATAGATACAAACTCAAAGTAAACCACTCCAAACTCAATTGCAGGGAATATGACATCAGCAACAGTCAATGTCTGGAATACTCTACCTAACTCTGTTGTTACATCCTCAAACCCCAAAAACTTTAACCTTAAACTGTGAACCTCACGCCATTCCTAAGAGGTCCTTAAAGGGGGTGTGCATTAGTGCACCAGAGTGCCTACCGTCCCTGTCCTTCTGTTCCCATTTATTCCTACTCATTTGTTGTGTATATACTTATACCCGTTTATACTTACATGTTTATATGTTATGTTCATACTTATACTTGTTTTCTCATACATGCTTGACAAACTAAATAAATAAATACATAAAATAAATTCAAGAGTGGGTCCAGTGCAGGTTCTGACAAGTTCTGGAGAACCACTAGTAGCAGAAATTTTGAGTAGTTTGGAAAACTGGCAAATCCCACTTCTGACTGGAGATTTTACAATATCCTTCCCCTGCCACGCCCACCCAACCATGCCCACAGAACCAGTAGTAAAAAAAAATAAAATGGAATCCCACCACTGGTCCAGTGTCCAGAGTAGGGGTGTCTCCTCTCTATTCAGCATGTCCAGGCGAAGCAATGGATGTCTGGCGGCTTCCATTTGTATTCATGTTCCCAGGCCCCTTCCAGCTCTTATCTTATGGTCATGTGATCTTCTCTGGGATTGGGATTTTCTCCTCAGCCTCCTCCTCCCTAAAGAAGTCTTTTGTTTCCTTCCTTGTCCACTCAGGAACATCGACACCTTGATTGTGGATGTCTACCCTGTCCTGGACACGCCCTCCAAGCAGGTGATCTGGCAGTTCATCTACCAGCTGCTAACCTACGAGGAGCAGGCCCACTGCCAGCAGAAAATTGCCAGGTTCCTTGGCTACAAGTCCATGGCCAGTGGCCCATCCGATGCTGGTGAGTTCACCCATGGGTGCTACTTCTGGACTGCCCAGCAGCTCATAGTATCCTCATAGAATTCTTTATTGGCCAAGTGTGATGGGACACACAAGGAATTTGTCTTTGGTGCAAATGCTCTCAAGTGTGCATAAAAGAAAAGATACATTCGTCAAAAGTCAAGAATCATCAGGTGCAACACTTAATGATAGTCATAGGGTACAAATAAGCAATCAAATCATACTAGGAAACAATCAATATAAATTGTAAGGATACAAACGACAAAGTTACAGTCCTACAGTCACAAGTGGGAGGAGATGGGTGATAAGGAGTGATGAGAAGATTAATAGTAATAGTAGTTCAGACTTTGTAAATAGTTGGACAGTGTTGAGGGAATTATTTGTTTAGCAGAGTGAGGACATTCGGGAAAATGTCTTTGTGTCTAGTTGTTCTGGTATGCAGGGCTCTACAGCGTCGTTTTGAGGGAAGGAGTTGAAACAATTTATGTCCGGGATGTGAGGGGTCTGTAAATATTTTCTCAGCCCTCTGTTTGACCCGTGCAGGATTCAGGTCCTCGATGGAAGGCAGGTTGGTAGTAATTGTTTTTTCTGCAGTCCTAATTCCTCTCTGGAGTCTGTGTCTGTCCTGTTGGGTTGCAGAACCAAACCAGACAGTTGTAGAGGTGCAGATGACAGACTCAATAATAGTGCGTGAGATATGGATGGCAATCTGTGTTCGTGGGTGCAGATTTGTTATTTGTGAAAAAAGATGTATGTGTCTGTCCATATTCTACAAACTAACAACAAAATATTGCACACAGTTAAAAAAAAAAGGGTAGGTGTGCACAGATGGTTTTTGGAAAGGAAGGTAAGGGAAACTCTCTAAAGAATGGTACGAAGGTCCAGGGTGGTAGAAGTGGGGCAGGAAGGAGGCCCTGGAGGTATTCCCAGAAAGTCAGGTGCTTTAATTTCCAACAGTAAGAGACACAAATATTTTCTAATAGGAATAGGACTATTTTTAATTGGGCAAGTGTGATTGGAAGCACAAGGAATTTGTCTCTGGTGCAGAAGCGCTCAGTGGTACACACAAGCAACGTGATAAATCATCATCATAACCATAATACAATCATAAATCATAGGATACAACACTTAGTGACAGTCATAGGATACTAAATAAAAGCAATCAACATAAATCACAAGATACAACAAAGTGATAGTCACAAGATGCTAAAGGAATAGGTAATAGGAAAGATGAGAAGGATGACAGTAACAATACGGACCTATTGCATGGATGTAGTATGTAGGATATATGTATAAATGTAGGCTGAGGGGGTGTTTTGGGCTTAGAAGAAGCAACGAGGAGCTCCAGAGAAACGGTTTTCAGGAACAGCCTGCGAATAAAAGGGGAGAAAGAGGAGCAGAGGGAAAACTCTTGGAGAGGGGAGCAAAGTCATACACACACACACACACACACACACACACACACACACACACACAAAGGAAAGTATTTAATGCCACTGTTGACCTTTGATGCTGTTCAGTGCTACGCTGCTCTTTCCTCCCTCTAGGACAGAGGTCTCCAAACGTGGCAACTTTAAGACTTGTGGACTTCAACTCCCAGAATTCTCCAGGCTGGAGAATTCTGGGAGTTGAAGTCCACAAGTCTTAAAGTTGCCAAGTTTGGGGACCCCTGCTCTAGGAAAAAAACCAGATCAGGAGGTGGCCTGGGCATCTGGGGGACCCATCCTGGCTCATGGGCCTTTTATTTGCCCACGGAGACTGGGATGTAGCCAGGGGAAGAACCAAAGGCTGTTGCCAAAAAAGGAGTTTGGTTGACTTTCTCAGGGTAAGTTTTAGGACCCGAGAAGCCCTCAGAGCCAAAGAATTGAATAACCCAAAGAATGGAGGCCTTTGGACTCTGGTGGTGGAGAAGACTCCTGCGAGTCCCTTGGACTGCAAGGCCATCCAACCGGTCGGTCCTAGAGGAGATCAACCCTGACTGCTCTTTCGAAGGAAGCAGATCCTGAAGATGAAACTCAAAGACTTTGGCCACCTCATGAGAAGGAAGGGCTTAGCCTAATGCTGGGAACGATGGAGGGCCAAAGAAGAAGAAGAAGAAGGGGACGGCAGAGAAGGAGGGGGCTGGATGGAGTCACTGAAGCAGTCGGCCTGAGCTTAAATCAGGGGTCTTCCAACTTGACAGCTTTAAGACGTGTGGACTTCAACTCCCAGAATTCCTCCTCCAGTCATGTTAGCTCAGGAATTCTGGGAGTTGAAGTCCACAAGTCTTAAACTTGCCAAGTTTGAAGACCCTTGGCTTAAATGGATTCCAGAGGATGGTGGAGGACAGGAAAACTTGGAGGACCGTTGTCCGTGGGGTCACGATGGGTCGGACACGACTTCACAACTAACAAAAAAAAAAAAAAAAAGCCCTCAGAAGCTGGGCAGACACTGGGAAGGTGCCGGAAGAGGGAATGGAGGGAGCCTGGCGCCTTCACCCACCCAGGACTTTCAGATCCTCCTCACAGGTTGAGGGCCCCATCCTCACAGCATGGCTGGGAGTCGGTGGGAGATGCGCGAGGGCCCCGTCGGGTGGCTTCTCTTCTCCTGGGTCTCTGCAGGATCCGTGCGGGCCCTGAAGAAAGCAGCTGCCAAGGCAACCAGGCAGCCTGGCAGGAGGCTATTAGCGCATCACGGGGGGCTCTGCCCTGAATGACTCGCACCTCCTTCTTCACGCAGGGTATTTCCTTGGGTTGCCGTGGCAACCTCGGGCGCCAGCTGCATGTTTTCAGGGATTGTGGGCATTCATCTCATCAGAGTAAAATTAGAATGAAAGGTTTTAATCTTCAGCTTGGGAGTTGTTATTTACAGGCAAACGCCTGTGTTGCTTCCAGGGAGATTATTATTAAGCCAGAGAGCAGCCCAGATGCCCAAGGGGTGGGGGGGTGGGGGCGAGGTGGGGAGAGGTATGTATACACACGTATGTATTTCTGTGTGTATGTAAGAAGCATGTATCTGCGGAGGGAGGAGAGGAACGGCCAACTCGCCACGGGACAAGAGGTACACTAATATCCAAGAAATGGTGGAATAAAACCATTAAAGAAAGGATTTCAAAGGAGGAGAAAAATGACATGACCATTTAAAAAAAAAAATATAGAATTATTTTAAACAATTAAATGGAATTGTTGAATTGTCCCACACTGAGTGGCAAGTCAGCCATGGCAAGTTGTCCCATTCCAAGGAGAGGATGCTTCTGTTGGACAGACAGACACATCTGGGTGGATCTGAGCAACAGCTTTCTTCCCCAACTTGGTGCCCGCCAGATCATGTGCTGGAAAATGTAGAACTCACTGCTGTTCTGGCCATGGTGCAAGGCTAGTCTAGAGAAAAGAAGAATTAGGGGTGACATGATAGCAGTCTTCCAGTATTTGAGGGGCTGCCACAAAGAAGAGGAGATTAACTTATTCTCCAAAGCACCAAAAGGGAAGACAAGAAACAATAGTTGGAAACTAATCAAGGAGAGAAGCAACCTGGAATTAAGGAGAAACTTCTTGACAGTGAGGACGATTGACCAGTGGGACAGCTTTGCCTTCAGAAATTGTGGGCGCTCCATCACTGGAGGTTTTTAAGAAGAGACTGGACAGTCGCTTGTCTGAGATGGTATAGTTTCTCCTGCTTGAGCAGGGGGCTGGACTAGAAGACCTCCAAGGTCCCTTCCAGCTCATCCATTCTATTCTAAGAAAGGCAAAGGGGTGGGTGAGGGTTGCAGTCACAAGTGCCATGCAGGCAGAGCTGTAACCCAGGAGGCTGGGCTGCAGGTACAGATGCCTCTAAACCTACGGCCATAATTGGGAGAAGCATTTCTGTTGCTAAGCAAGGTTCAATGAACCGTGCCCAATTTTACAAACTTTTTTGCCATGAGTGTTAAGCGAATCCCTTCAGCTGTTAAGGGAATCATAAGGTTTGATTTGGGCTTGGCTAGTCTAAAGAAAAGAAGACTTAGAGGAGACAGGAGAGCAGTCTTCCAATATTCGAGGGGCTGCCACAGAGAGGAGGAAAGGGTCAGGCTATTTTCCAAGGCACCCGAAGGCCAGACAAGGAATAATGGATGGAAGCTGAACAAGGAGAGATTCAACCTGGAAATAAGGAGAAACTTTCTGACAGGGAGAACAATCAACCAATGGAACAGAAGTTTCCTTCGGAAGTTGTGGAAGCTTCATCACTGGAGGCTTTCAAGAAGAGGCTGGACTGCCCTTTGTCAGAAATGGTGTAGGGTCTCCTCCTTGGGCCAGGGGTTGGACTAGATGACCTACAAAGTCCCTTCCAACTCTGATGATCTGTAAATCGGATGGGTGTCTAAAGCAAAGGGCCTGGCTTATTCTTCTCAGCTGCAGCTGAACCTGAAGTGGAAGAACAGCCACGGAGTTCCCTACGGACTGGCCCAGGGAGTCGGAAGAGTCTGCGAAGTCATAGCCCCAAGGACGGGGAAGCCCGGGGTAGGTTATGGGGCTGGGCCAGTGGTGGTCTTTGGCTTCTTTCCCCTCCTTTGTCCAGCAACTCCTTCTCACCCCTGTTTGCTCCACACACACCCTCCCATCCAGGGGGAGAGTGACCATACCCCCACTCTGTAGATCAGAGGTCCTCAAACCTGGAAACTTTAAAACATGTGGACTTCAACTCCCAGAATTCTCCAGCCAGCTTTGCTGGCTGGAGAATTCTGGGAGTTGAAGTCCACATGTTTTAAAGTTGCCATTTTGGGGACTCCTGCTATAAATAGAGGTTTTGGGGAACGTTGCAATGCCACCACAACAATGCAATGCCACCACAAATGCAATGCCACCACAACAATGGTGTTCACATGCCTTGCAATGACCGGAGAGCTGTGTCACACACATACACACACACACACACACACACACACACACACACCCCTTCTACAAATTTTGTGATCGCATGGACTGTAGCTACAATATCTTGAGTGGCTCAACAGCTGCCTGCCGCTTGTCTTAGTGGAGAACATCTGGAACTTTCCCTGGGCCACCTGGATTTTCTCACACGCTGGTCTCCCCCTCTTTCCTCCTCTTCCTTAATCTGAGCAATCAAAAGGTTACTTTGGAGGGGCTCTGGATTTGCCTCAGTGAGGAGGGGGTCGGGCAAGAAAAACCGCAGAGGTTGGTTCCGATTCTGGATTCCTGTGTCCAGCCTTGGCTCTCTCCAAGCTCTGGCTGATGCCAAGAAGACACTGGCTTCAGACCGAGTGTGATGAAATTGAGGCATGGCGCGAAAGCAACACAACCGAAGAACAGGTCTAACTCCCCAGTATTGCTCCAACTTTGCCCTCAAATGTCCCCACATTTACTACAAGTCCTGGAGCAAAGCTCTCACACACTCCTTCAGAAGACTCTGGTTGTGAGGAGTCCAATAAGCCAAGTTAACCACACAGTAACCAGGGCCAGCAGTCCAG